GGTCTCATCAGGGTGTTACATTTGGTTTTTGTTTTGTCAATGTGTTCCCTGAAAAGCAGCTTGCTGTCGAGTGTAAGGCCGAGGTATACTACCTCTTTTGACCATTCCACCATTGTGCCGTTCAAGTTGATGTTATTATTCTCAGACGGAACAAGTCTGGGTGATTTAAAATGAGGAAAGATGATGGCCTGGGTCTTTGCCGCGTTGATACGGATCTCATAGCTGTTGAAGTATTCTGACAGGCCATTTAGGCCTCTCTGAAGTTTGGTGGTCAGAGCTCCGATGACCCTACCCTTGTAGACGATGGATGTGTCATCTGCGAACAGTGACAACGATCCACCATCAGGGAGAGCCGGCATATCGGAGGTGAACAGGTTGAAAAAGATGGGGCCAAGGATACTTCCCTGTGGGACACCCGCACTGATGTGGAAAGCATCCGATGTGATGCCATTGAGAGAGACTCTGAATGTCCTTTCCGAGAGGTAATTTTTAATTATCTTCACTTCACACAGGCCATCATGCCAAACATTGTTCAACGTCCAACAATGCCATGTTTTCCTCGGCAGATGCCAGAAGTCGATGGTAGACTGTTCTTTCGACAGCTTGGATAGCCCCGAAAGAAGACTGATGGGTCGGTAACTTGAAGGAGAGGATAGATCTTTCCCAGGTTTCCGGGAATGGGGATGACTTTAGCTGACTTCCAGCACGAGGGGAAGTAGCCAAGTCTTAGGCACTGATTAAAAATCAGTGCCAGATGGTTGAAGAATCTAGAACTCAGGTGTTTGAGTTCCAAATTCATGATTTGGTCGAAACCCGGGGCCGTCATATTTTTAGATTATTTGGTATAGGCCAACAGTTCGTCAGCCGTAATTTTGCATTCCACAGGAAAGTTGTAAGGAATTCGATGGAGGTTGGTTGTATTTACCGCAACTGCAGTATCGTATGGACTAGGCATGTTCAATCCGAGATTATGCGAGTTGACGAAATGTTGACCTATAGCATCAGCCTTATCTTCAGGGGTTATCAGATGAACAACTGAATCATTGGGTTGATTCGACGACACAAGTGGGGAAATGGGTCTTGGCTTATTTTTAAGAATTTTGGTTAGCTTCCAAAAGGGCTTTGTACAATCTGGCAGAGAGCTCATTTTGTTACTAAAGTCCTCATTCTTGAGGTCCATCATCCTGGCTTGGATTATTTTTGTTAGACAGTTGCAATGGGTCTTCAAGGCAGGCAGTCCAGAACGTTGGTACTGCCTACGCATGGTGTTACGGAGTCTGATAAAGTTTTTAGTGGGACTATCAAGGTTCAGAGTATTACTCACCTTTCTGGATACTGGCACGTGTTGTTCCCTGGCTCGGAATATCGCAGGCGTCGGTCAACGTCTTCAGGGGCGTCCGGATGTACTTCGCAGTCGACGGTGATGTTGACACAGTGCTGGAACCGATTCCATTCAACACGATGGTAGTTTCGCCGGGATGCTTGAAATCTATTAGCCGAGAAGCCTACTTCGGCCACCACCGGGTAGTGGTCCGAGCTCAGCTCCTGGAATGCCACAGGTTGCGAGATGTTGTGTCCCATGTTCCTTACGAAGATGTCGATGGTCGCATGGACCCCAGACCAACTCAACCAGGTGGGAGTGTCCGGGGCCAAGATGGTATAGTGGCTCCCTTGCAGGTCTTCATTCAGGATGGTGCCGTTTCGATTGTTCCGACCGTTGCCCCAAGCTTGGTGTTTTGCGTTTAGGTTGCCAGCGATGATGAAGTTTTCGCTCCTCCGGATGAGTTTGATGATGTCTTTCCGGAGGGCCACTGACGACCCGTCCCTGATGTTGGTTTGCTTGGGGTAGTAGGCTGCGATGATGGTGATTGGGCCAAGTGATGTGCTCCAGGGTTGAAAAAATCACCAGCATTCACTATGAAATTAATGTTTCATCCATAGTGAACTTTGATGAATTTTAGTGATTTTTTTCAGCCCTGATGTGCTCACCTCCACTTCGATGGCTTCAATTGTTTTCAGCTGGAAGCTTGGCAGTAGCTGGCAACTGATGTTCCATCTTGCAATGATGGCCACTCCCCCACCCCCGGAGCAGGTGCGGTCAAGTCTGACGAGCCGGAAGTCGGGAAGGAATACGTTCAGTTCGGGCTTCAAGTGCGTCTAGGTGATAATAGCAATTTCGACCTCCTTGGTGTTGAGGAAATCGAGTAGCTTTCTATGCTTGTTCGTCAGCGAGCAAGCGTTCCAATTTGCAATTAGTATAGTTTCACGGTCCATACTTGGTGACGAGTGAAAATGCAGCATGAAGCTGTTCAGATCGAGTCTTGCAGGTTCGCACGATGACGATCACCTCTGCAACCAGCGTTACTAGTTCTTCCGATGTGAAAGGAGATTCGTCAACTGAATCGCTAGAGGCAACACGAGCATACGATAGTCCGGGTGCCGAGGCAGAAACATGATCTGGCAGGGCTGCTGCGGCAGTGAGGCGATGCTGAGCTGAGGGAGTGGCTCCTTGATTGTTGATGGGTAGCGGTGGGAGATTGGGGACCAGGCGACGAAGCTGGACTGCCGGGTATTGTTCATCCGTGATGGCTGGTGGTGTGCGTTTGTTTCGATGTCGGCCTGGCTGGTTGCTAGTTGCCACCTTCTTCCTGATGTTGATGAATTCCGTTCGCTTGGGGCAGTTCCGAGAAGTGGTACGGTGAGTACTGCCGCAATTCACGCACTTTGGCTCGGTGTCATCAGCTTGAACACAGGTCGCTGTCGAGTGGGCCATAGCACACTTGTCGCAGCGTGGTTTCATATGACAGTTTTTCGTGCCATGGCCGAAGGAGAGGCAGCTCGTGCATTGGGTCACATCAAGGTGTTGCGGTTTGTAGAATTCCCAGTCGATAATGACCCGAAACAGGTCACGTATGTTGCTCTTCAGCGCAGCAAAGGTGGTGGAGTCCTTCATGAAGTGGACCAGAAACAGTTGGTCACGATAGTTGGTATTGGGCATAGACCGGCAAATCATTGGGTGTACTGCCTCTGGTTTTAATCCAAGCCTCACCAGTTCATCTTTTACGGCAGCCGCTTTGTACGACGGCAGTCCCCGTGGAACAACCTTCAATGGTCTCATCGAAGGCAAATCGTGGGTGTTAAACTCCACTGTGCTGTTCAGCAGATTTTTTGACAATTTCAGCGGCGTCACCACCGCCATTTTCTACTTCGAGCACCGAGAATTGGTTGCAGCCGATTCGCTGCGTCATCCGAAGTAGCGCTGGTATCCGTTTGGGCCTTCTTTCTATGGCCCTCCGATGCAGGAGTAGTAGTACGCTTGCGTGCCATGCTTTGTTTGGTGGCAAGTGCAATTAGACTTGCCAATGCGCCTGTCGATGACGGCACTTCCACGACGCGAACGTAGCGATGAAACGGACTAGAGAAAAAAAAAATCGATAGTGAAGCGAACGACAAACGAACTATACTGCTTGACGGTCTAGCAACGAATGACCTTTTGAGCAAATGCACAACAGCAGCGTTGTTATATATCTTTCCAGGTTCAAGCAGAACGATGTGCAAACAAGTGGTATTCGATTATGATGACTGGGTTTGGGAAAAACGTGTATATCATGAAAACATTTTATAACTGTACATTTCTACATTTTTCAAGAGTTGTTTTATGGAAAATTGTAAACGCATTTATTACAATTTTCCATAAAACAACTCTTGAAAAATGTACAAATGTACAGTGAAATGTTTTAAAGAAATACACTTTTTTTCCCAAACCCAGTCGTCATAATCGAATACCACTTGTTTGCACATCGTTCTGCTTGAACCTGGAAAGATATAAAACAACGCTGCTGTTGTGCATTTGCTCAAAAGGTCATTCGTTGCTAGACCGTCTAGCAGTATAGTTCGTAAAGTAATATTCTTTGGTTAGGCGTCTTTGGATTTTAATTTCATCTACAAATGACAAAGTTGCATGCATTCAAAACCTTACACTATTTCACCATACATTTTTTTTTATTTGCACCACAGTATAGTCGACAAAGAAGTAGTTCTACGTAAAAAAAAACAAATGAATTACCGAAACCTTCAGCATTCGAAAGAAGGGATTGTTGTCTTCATTTTTAAAAATATGGATTTCATCCAAGATCATTCCTTCGTTCTGGCGTGGAAACCAAATTCTTGTGGACTTTGCAGTAGCTTCTCTAGGTATGCTGGATTGGTCAAAAGTCATCACTGGTTGATTAAATGCCATGGATGGTTGCTATCAACTTATAGACCATTCATTGATGTGCGCCCGGTACTCATTTCACTCCTGGAGTGAGATGGTTAATTAGGCAATGGTTGATGGTGTGAAGCTTATTGGATTCGTTGTCCATCTCGATTTGCTATTATCTAGCCGAGAGGTCAATAATGCTGAATGCACAGTTTCTATTTAGCAGGTCGAAAATCTCGAATGTAGATTGGCACGGATCATTAACCATATTTTTTTGCTATTCCGGAATCACAGACTATGTATCCCCAGAGGAACCTATAAGGGTTCATCCATATTTTTGACGCAGCATATTTTGTACTCTTTGTAGACCCCCTCCTCACCATTCTTCCAAACAGAAGATCGCCCAATCCTACTGGACTGCATTCAAATGCATTCAACGTCCCTCGTTGGAACGACGAAGATCTACACGCTTTTGGAATCTTTTCGTGTGACCTTCACCATATCAGTACTACCCGACTACGTTGCGAATGGGACGATCCGACTACCTTGGCCCGACCAAGGCAAGAATGGGTCTAAAGACGTATAAGAAGCAGAAGAAGCCAAAGCAGAGTGAAAAATAAGCCGCATCCGTCAAACCGAGGGCTTGGAAGTTATACGACCGATTGCTGTGCGGAAAATCGGTGTGCGTGATTATGGACGATGAATCATACACCCAACCGGGGGATGTAAGATTCGCTGCAAGCCGCAAGCCATTTGCAAGTGTGGTATGCTTTCCAAACCGTTTGTGACAACGGAGACAATGACAATCGATGTTTACGTGAGTGAGTGTTTAAACAAGCGTCTTTTACCCATGCCCGAAAACACGACGCCTCAGTACTGTTTTGGCCGGATTTGGCGTCGGTGCATTACTCCAAGGAGACGGTAGCCTGGTATAAAGCCTACAAGGTCCAATTCGTACCCAAGGAAATGAATCTGCCAAACTGTCCCCAGCCCAGGCCAATCGAATTTTTTTTTTGGGCCCTGACCAAAGCATATTTCCGGAAACATGTAAAGGCCGCGGATTCCATTACAAAGTTTACGAAGGATTGCGAAGCTAATGAGTAGCGTGAGATCAAAAATCCACTACTTGGCGTACGACTGATCGGATTTCGGATTTGCTACGTTTAACTGTAAGCACCCATCGGCGTTTTGGAAGTTCGTGAAATCACAACGGTCTGATAATCGTATTCCGGACATAGTTGAGTTTAACGGGATCGCTGCTAGCTCCCCTGTCGATGTTGCTAACTTGTTTGCGAGCTTCTTCCAATCAGTTTACAACACAAATTCGCCACCGCTAAATCCTTCAAGTTTCGATCGCATCCACGAGTACAACCTGAATATCCCAACGTTGCGCTTCTCACCGGACGACGTTATGAAAGCCTTGAATGACCTCGATGTTTCTAAAGGCCCTGGAGTAGATGATATTCCCCAATCTCTGCTCAAATATTGCGCACGCTCACTCGCTTCTCCGATCTCCTGCATATTCAACCGTTCGCTGAGCGAAAGATTATTTCCCAATGTTTGGAAGACAGCTTCAATTGTGCCAATCCATAAAGCGGGAAATCGAAACCGAGTTGAAAACTACCGTGGAATATCAATTCTCTGTTGCATTAGCAAGGTCTTTGAAACCTTAGTGCACAATGCTCTGTACAATGTGGTTCATCCCATAATATCAGACTTCCAGCATGGGTTTGTCCAGCACCGCTCTACTACAAATTTGCTGTGCTACACTAATGCTCTGTTTCGAGAGGTTGAAGCCCGGCGACAGGTGGACTCTGTTTACATCGACTTTTCAAAGCATTTGACACAGTGCCACACGTGTACGCTACCGAAAAATTAAGAGCTATTGGATTCCCTACTTGGTTAGTTGAGTGGATTCTCTCTTACTTGACCGACCGCCATTCCTTCGTTTCGATCAATTCTGCACGCTCGAAGGCCTTTGCAATTACTTCGGGAGTACCGCAAGGAAGTGTGCTCGGCCCAATGCTGTTTGTCCTTTTCGTCAACGAACCGTGCCTTCAGATTTCTTCATTTAAGCAAATGTTCACCGACGACCTGAAGATGTTCAGAGTCATCGCGACCGTACTCAACTGCCTCGCCCTGCAAAATGACATAAATGGGCTACTCCTATGGTACCAAGAAAATGGTATGAGTGTCAACATAGGAAAATGCAAGGTGATATCGTTTTCCCGTCAGAGCACCACCGTCAACCACCAATACACAATTGGATCCGTGTCATTAGAGCGTGTTACCTCAATTTGTGACCTTGGTGTTACTATTGACTCGAAGTTAAGATTCAACGAACATGTTGCACTTGTCACGGCTAAAGCTTCTACGGTTCTTGGATGCATTCGACGCTATACGTGGCAGTTTACAGACATTTTTGCACAAAAAACATTGTCCTGTACTTTGGTACGTAGCATCCTGGAATACGCGGCCTCTGTCTGGACACCTTATCACGCATCGCTGATTATCAGAGTCGAAAGAATTCAGAAGGTTTTCATTCGATTCGCGCTGCACAACCTTCCATGGAACGACCCGCTAAATCTGCCTGACTACACTGCACGCTGTATGCTGATTCATTTGGAAACCTTACGTGCTAGGCGCACAAACATTCAGCAACTAGTTATTTTCGACTTACTTCGTGGCAACATTGATTGTCCTCAACTACTACAGGATGTCCCTCTATACGTTCCACCCCTACAGTTGAGGAGCTCACAACTTGTCGCTGTGCCGGCTCACCGGACTGGTTACGGTTTCAACAATCCATTCGACGCTTGTCTGCGAGCTTTTAACGATACTAACGAGGATTTCGATTTTGTGATTAGCAAAAGTACTTTTAAAAATATTAGGTGAAGTAGTCTGTACGATTTTTATTTTTTATCGAAGATGAAACAACAAATAAAAAAATACTACAGGGAACATGAATACGGAATAAAAATCGAATTTAGAGTTACGTTATCGTTTTTTTTTTAATCGTGCTTAGACATTCTGGGACAACCTATAAAACTTGAAATGTTACTTGGGAAGTGTTTACCAATTTTATGCATTTTCTGGCCAGTTTTAGAAACACATTCGTTTACGAATATGTATACTTCATGCCAGAAGCTCGGGATTAGTTCCAAAATGTCCATGGGCCCCTTACAAAAATACATGCCATCAAAAAGGAATCAAGTCTCTCCCAATTTTTCTAAATGCGTTTTTGGATATCTTTAAGAAAACACGTACTTTTGAGAAATTACACATCAGACTTTAGAGTATTTAGAAAGTAACAAAACATATTCCTCTAAAGGCCTGTGCGAATACCATATCATTTATTTTTTATTTTTCCCACTCAAATATATCCCAAATTAAAACAGGGGATCAAGTGTGTTCACTCTCCCCTACTGATAAGTTATTTAAATTGTATCCCGAAAACCATTGCCAAGCACAAACAGGAGAGGTGAATAAAGAAAATTGAATTTGCATCGTTTGCTCATTGCAAATATTGTCAAATGCCGAGTTTGTCCCCTCCCCACCATACACACATGCACCTGAGATTTTACTGTGGCTCAAAAATGTTCATTCCAGTCAGGTTTCCAACGTAAATTGATTGAATAGAGCCACAAGAATGGGCTGAATTTGCATAAATTCGAACTGTGTGTGTGGGACTCCGTGTTTGTGTGGATGGGGACAGAAGGGAAGTAAAAAATCCTCGGTGTAAAAGCGATGTACCTTTCGGTTTTCGATTGCACGTGTTTGCTCGTTCCCCAAGAAGGTACAATCAAGCTGGAAGAAATCTAAAAGAATTTCAGAGATAAATGTACCCACATTTGCTCTTATAGCCACCACCATATCGATGGTCCGTTAGTAAAAATATGTGCTCCACTTTTGATCACAAGCCATGTTTTCCAGGTGAGTGGTCTGGCTGATAACATTGATTTCAGAGTAAGCGGCATATTGTTGGTCCTTATTGGCTTGCTGAAGCCATCTGAGAGTAGAAATGAAAAAAAAAATCTGCTTTGAAAACACCGTGACTGACACATTTGGAATAATTTTCAAATTATCGTTTACCGTTAAGCGCGTGTCTCGCCTATAACGTGAATGAAAATTGTATTCACAGTTTATCATGCACTCGAAGGAATATGGAACATAAAATCAATTACGGTAAACATTTGCTCAGCCTTTGTTTACTTTCTTCTGAAAGCCTAAATCGACATTGTGACGTTTAATGGCTCTTCGAGGAAAAATTCAATCCTGATCTTGATCATATTCATCCTCCTATAATTTTCACTATTCATACATAATAAAACCTCAAAAGGTGTGACAAGAAACACGATAAACCATTTACCCTGCAGGTGGTGATCCAACAAAACTCGCTAAGTTGATGTTGTACTCAATTTCGAAACACTCCACTAAAGCCGTTCCCCACACAAATATCATAAGCATTCATCCACGGTTCATACTGGCTGAATGGGCCACCGAAAGCAACCGACAGTGATGATATGCTCATACAATAATAATTTTAATTAAAGTTTTTCATGAATAATTAAGTTGCTAACATGTGCGTGTGAAGGCGCGTCTTGCTGAACCCTGTTTGGAAACCAGGTAGATCCAGCGGCAGACGTATTGTTTCGAAATTGATGAGAGAGGGTGTAGGATTTCTATGCGTGCGCGGTGCTGAGCGGATTTCGTGAACCGAAAAATCTGCAGAGTATCTTGGTTTACTGCCACTTGAGGAGTGCCTTTTTCGTGGAAGTGGTTTTGAGAAAATCACACGATACAATGGAAGCTTGATGAAAAGTTTGCTCCGGGCATTAGAAAGCTGGCTCTTGCGCTACAAGATTCAAGATTAGGTTTCTATGGGAATTTAGTTTTGAAACTCTTTTGCCGTTGGTTATACGATGCAACAGCAATTAATACTAAAATAGGAGGTTTTCTAAAAAGTTGAAAAGCTTTGTAAAGCTCTTGAGAAAACACAACCAACCATTTACGTACACGAATTGCTTGAGGGTAATTTATGAACACATCAATCGCGTGGTGTTCGAACAGAGTCTAATTAATTTCGCTTGAACGACTGATCATGGGCGTTAAAAATGTGAAATTGAGCAATTAATCAACTGAATGGGGTGGGAAGTGACCTTCCATTATCATTGTACAAGTTTAACTGACTGGAAGGCGAATGAGTCGATCCTATAAATTCAGTAATGTCAAGGGGCCTGAGGGTCTTCTGCCCAGTTAGAAAAAAACGGTTGGACTAGACAACCAAGCCCTTTACATAAAATTACATTACATACCCGAGCAAAGCTAGAGAACAAATTGAAATCAGAATTTTCTGTTATGATGTAACTTATTCTGAATACTCCATTTGATTTCATTTTGGTTGACTTACCGGTTAACACAGCAAAATTTTGTCATATTACGCTGAGCCGGTCAAGTCGCATCGGTCTCGTTGTACGACACTAGTATTTGAGTTTTTGAGTTTTTTCCAATGCGAGGGTTTTTTCTCGCCAAAGTTAGTTGGCATAGTGTTAGGACAACTAGTGCGCGACTGAGGAAGCCGTTAATCATACGCCGAGCGCTTTAATTACGGTTCAGCTTTAATTCATCATCATCGCATCATCACATTTTCCCATTGATAGCAACAACGAAAGCACGTTAAATTGCCTATCGAGGTGACCGAGGCATACCAGCTATCAGGCTATCGACCCAACAGCCGTTGGGGGAAACAATAGCATCTCACCAGTCTCTGCCGCCTCAGTGCAATAGGTATATCGTGTCGCTTTGTTTTCATCAGTATCGCATCTCCCCGCATGGTCCAGTATTAGATTAGGTTGGGTCATAATTAGGGTGATCCAAAATCTTGTAAATAGTATATATCTATAATTTTTTTTTCTTGATTTTTTTCCCCGTACTATTTTTAAGTAGAGTATAGTTAGAGTGATCCAAACAATTTTTTTAGCATATATATTTTTTTTCTTGGTTTTTTTTTTGTTTCTTTCGTATTACTCTTTAGTAGAGTAAAACTATATCAATTTTTTATGTATTTTTTTTTTTGTTAGCTTTTTTTTTATTTGTGATACTATTTGAAATTACTGTAATTATTTGCAAAATGTTTATTAAAAAACACCATTGCGGCAATATTTAACCGCAACGGATGAAAATGATAAAGGCGAGGGATGGTCGCTTTCCATCTCAGACGACGAAACTCTTCATTCCACCTCACACGAAAGTCTCGAGGAAGTTCTGGAAATGGAAACCCTTGACGTTCCAGTTGACTCAGCAAAAATACTGGAGCATATCCCAAGAAAAGGTATCCCCACAACCCTCTCCCCCACCATCTCCTCCTCGTCCTCCTGCACCCAACACACCATTGCCCCCGAAAATCTCTGCGCTCCACCGCCCAGAAGCCTCGAAAGGCCCATGGGTTGTTTTTTTTCCGGCCCAAACAAAAACCTTTGAACATTCCGAGGATCTCTAAGGATCTAACAACACATTTTTCGGCTGTTACCGATATTTTCAAAGTAACACCAATAAAACTGCGCGTTACCGTTGATGACCGGAAGCAGGCTAACCAAATTGTTGCATGCGAGTTTTTTTCATTGGAATACCGAGTCTACATACCCGGTAGTGAGGTAGAAATTGAAGGAGTGGTCACCGAAGCGAGTTAGACTACTGATGATTTCTTGGGTCCCGATTCCTTCGGAATCTTTAAAAACCGTGCTCTGCCGAAGGTGAAGATATTGGACTGCCTTCAAATGCAGTCAGTATCCGTAGTAGGCTCCAAAAAAAACTTATTCCTTGTCAAACTCGTTTCGTGTGACCTTTTCGGGTTCAGCGTTACCTCACTACGTCGCTATTGGCAAGGTTCGGCTGCCTGTACGTCTGTTTGTACCTCGGGTAATGAACTGCTCGAAATGTAAACAACTTGGTCATACATCGGACTACTGCTCGAACAAACCACGCTGCGATCAGTGTGGCGAGCAACATATAGAGGGCCCTTGCGGTGCTCCTCCAAAATGCGTATACAGCAAGGAAAGCCTGCATACCCTGACTGACTGCCCGAGGTATAAACAGCAGGGAGAAAAACTTAAGCGGTCTCTGCAAGCTCGCTCCAAGAGAACACTAGCAGAACTCTTCAAGAATACCGCTTCATCTTCTCAGACCACACCAAAAAACAGTAACACGTTTTCCATTTTGCCAGTTGATGATCAAGACTCTGACTCAGAGGGCGGTGAGCGTAGTCCGTTTGTCTTTAAAGGCAATACGAGAAAACGAGCAAAAAAACACACCACCGAAAAGCCTCGTAAGGCCACTCGTACGGACCACCCTTCCACCTTGGAAAAATCAAAAGGTAACGGAAATGCACCGAAACCCATTCCACCGGGTTTTAAACCTTTTAATTATGACAAGAACTTTCCGTCACTTCCAGGATCATCTAAAACCCCAGATGTCCCAGTTTTTCGGCCAGAAAAGCAGCTGAATAATTGAAAAAATATTGTGGATAGCTTCTTCAGTATATTCAATATCTCTGACTCAACGAGGAGCATTATTAATTTAGTGCTGCCAATGCACAGTGGTCCAGAATGCAGATTTAGGTGGAATGATATGTTTTGAGCCTGAAATTGAAACTTTAGACTAAAAGTCTCTTCTACAAAGTTGTTCCTTATAGTTAGGCCCTCATTTTTATGACAATGAATTCTAGGGTGGTTCCTATTATCATTAAAATCAAAAATCTAACTTTTTTGTTTGAATAAATTAAGGTATACATTCTTGGGCAAAGTTATAGCTGAGCTAATTTCAAGCAACTTTGCGCAAAATAACTTTTTTTTTATCTCTTAAATTGGCTGATTTAGCTCTAATTTCTTGAATTGAGTTAGGGTGGCTCTTAAAAAAAAACAGTTTTTTTTATTTTCTTAGTTTTCTTATTTCGAATTTCTCAGCAAAGATGTCTCCAAATAACTTTTAGATCTTAAGAAGGCGCAAATTTTTGCTTCACAAAGTTTGTCAATATCTTTCGCCGATCAAGAGTTATTGACGTTTTTATACTAAAAATATGCACGTTTCAAATGTTAATATTTCTGGTTGGGGCAAACAAAAAAAAGCTTTTTTACGGCATTTGAAAGAACGTATGTTATTCTCAATAATATGACAAAATTGGAGGTATGTTATTTTTTAAACTCGTATATAATCAATTTGAATTTGTTCATATTTTTACTATATTTGGGTATATCTTTTTTATTAGAATAGATACAGGCAACACATTCAGCTATTAAACATTCGTCTTAAAGAGTTTTGAAAGTCTTTATAAGATGACTTTCATGATAAATTTCAAATAAAAAAGTTATTGCTAAAAAAATATTTTTTCCAGGAACACCCTAGGTCAACTTAAAAAAGTGAATGATTCTTGATCATAAAATCATATATTGACCTACTGATTCCCTTAAAAAATAGCATTTTGTGCAAAATATGATACAGTTGTTAAAATCGTCGACTTCAAATTAAGCTTTTAACAGCATATATCGCAAAAATTGAACTAATTCACTTTTCGTATATTTTTTAGATGTTTTACTTAATGAATCACAGTTTAACACGCTATTGCGACCTTATTTCTGATGAAACATAAAGGAATAATCATCAGGCGTCAGATCACCATGAATCAGGCGTTTTGCCCCGCTATCATATTGGAACCAATTTATAAAATACCTTGAAAATCATGAAAATGCATCGTTCTGTAGTTCGAAATCACTTGATCTTCGTAGAAAACATGGTAATGAACCAAACACCATTACTTTCTTCTTGATTTTAGCTTCCATACGCCAGCAATTGACGATTTTGCTTAAACGGTGCGTTTTGCATCATCCTACCCTACTTCCTTCGCTGGACGAGTACTCCTTTCTTGCGCGTGTCATCATCGATTGTGCGCTGCGAGCACAGAAGAAACGTTTTCCGGGTGTTTCCGTTCGCAAGCGACCTCCCACCCCGTGGTGGGATAAGGAATGCACCGACGCGAACAGCGAGAAGTCCACCGCGTTTAAACGCTTCCGCAAACACGGTAAGGTCGAGGATTTCGAGCGGTACACCGACCTTGAGAAAACCTTTAAGGGCTTGACTAAAGCCAAAAAAACGCGGTTACTGGCGTCGGTTCGTCGATGGTTTGTCGCGAGAGACTTCCATGAGAACACTCTGGAATGTCGGCAGGAGAATGCGAAACGCGTCATCACCGATTAACGAAGACAAGGAGTACTCGGACAGTTGGATATTCAGCTTCGCGCGGAAAGTATGCCCGGATTCGGTGTCGGTTCAAACCAACGTTCGTGATCGTCCGACGAGTAATAACGAAATAGATTCCCCTTTTTCGATGGTGGAATTCTCACTTGCTCTCCTCTCATGTAACAACTCAGCTCCAGGAATGGATAGAATCAAGTTCAACTTGCTTAAAAATCTCCCAGACGTCGCGAAGAGACGCTTGTTGAACTTATTCAATCAATTTGTGGAGCACAACATTGTTCCGGATGACTGGAGGCAAGTAAGAGTTATCGCCATTCGAAAACCCGATAAACCCGCGTCGGATTACAACTCGTACCGTCCCATCGCGATGCTGTCCTGTATACGGAAATTGTTGGAGAAAATGATTCTTTTTCGTCTAGACAAATGGGTCGAGTCGAATTGTTTACTTTCAGATACGCAATTTGGATTTCGGAGAGGCAAAGGAACGAGCGACTGTCTTGCGTTGCTTTCAACTGAAATTCAACTGGATATAAAATAGCAAAAATAGCAAATGGGTTCAGTTTTCTTGGACATTAAGGGGGCTTTTGATTCTGTTTGTATCAATGTCCTTTCGGATAAACTCCACGATAGTGGGCTTTCACCAATTATGAACAACTATTTGAGCAACTTGTTGTCTGAGAAATATATGAGCTTCTCTCATGGAAACTCGACAACTTCACGAATTAGTTACATGGGTCTCCCCCAGGGTTCATGTTTAAGCCCTCTTCTTAATATTTTTTTATGTAAAAGACATTGATGGTTGTCTTGATGAAAATTGCTCGCTAAGGCAGCTTGCAGATGACGGGATTGTGTCCGTTATAGGGCCAAGTGCACCGGACCTGCACACTGAAAATGTATATTCGTTATTTCTCTGAAAACCGTTTCGTAAAAATGAATATCGTACATACAACACATCTTTTATAAATGGTAAGAAACATTCGTTTTTCCTATCATATGGCGCAATGTTAATATTACGCCTTATTCGTATAATATACAAATACATCTTCGTACAATCAAACCAACAACTGCGCTTATTGTCTGCTAAAGTGCTGATTGTGTGTTGGAGATGGGACATTTTTTTTTAGAAATATTGTCGGTTTGACCAATACATGCAAGCTACAACAATAAATCAAATTACTCGTCGCGGTGGTTTTATGTTAGAGAAAAAAAATACATGCAAGCAGCAGAAAAAGCAAGCGAAATCGAATTACCGTTCCATGAGTGCTTCTTATTTGCCTTTAGCTTTACCATTCCTCATAGCACAGATAGAGCGATGGATAAAGCACAGATCTAACGATTGCAAGGTTCATGAGGCGAGTCCGGTCTGAAGCTTATTTTTATTTTTTTGTCAAATTTATTCCTTCCAATGGTGAAGTTATTTTTACCCATCCTCACTAACACACTCCACATTTTTCGGTTTCCACAACCAACACTTGTGGCCCGCTGGTTGGGTGTAGCGATAGCGAGTGTGGCAGTTCTAACGAAACTAGCTTCATACAATGTACAAATCTATTTCGTTGCAGAAAACAACGAATAAATTCATAGAACAAACGAGCGATTTCGTTGTATAAACGAAATTTTATTTTCAGTGCAAGAACCATTGCAAGATACCTTAGACAATTTATCTACTTGGGCAATGAAGCTGGGTATCGAATTCTCTCCGGAGAAAACTGAGTTGGTTGTTTTTTTCTAGGAAGCATCATCCTGCACAGTTACAGTTTCAACTAAAGGGTAGAACAATCACTCAAAGTATATCTTTCAAGTATTTAGGTGTCTGGTTCGATTCCAAAAGCACGCGGGGAAAACATATTGCGTATGTGAAACAAAAATGCCAACAAAGAATCAACTTTCTTCGTATAATTACTGGAACTTGGTGGGGAGCACACCCGGAAGATCTGATCAGGTTGTATCGAACAACCATCTTGTCGGTTCTAGAGTACGATAGCTTCTGCTTTCAATCCGCGGCGAAAACACATATCTTGAAGCTACAACGGGTTCAATACCGTTGCCTCCGAATCGCGCTTGGCTGTATGCACTCGACGCATACGATGAGCCTCGAAGTACTCGCGGGTGTTCTCCCACTGACAGATCGTTTCGCGGAACTGTCCTTCCGGTTTCTTATCCGTTGTGAAGAAATGAACCCATTGGTAAGGGCCTGTTCATAAACTACGTAGACAGTTTATTTGGGATTCTTGACCCCCCTGCGTTGACAATTGTCCATACAAATTTTTTTAAATTTGTATGGGCCGTGGATAATTGTCAACCCCCCCCCCCCCTAAACTGTCTACGTAGTTTATGGACAGCCCCTAATAGAAAACTTTGAGAAGCTGCTCGACAGAAATCCTCAAACAAGATTCATGACGCTGGAGATTGGCCTTTCTTCATTCAATTCCTCTCGTGTTTGTCTCCAAGACTTATAGTTCCTCTGTAAATTTTGATCTGACCATGTTGCAAGAAATCCGTGGAATACCAGATCACCATCGGTCGATGGTTGTTCCCTTAATTTTTGCAAACAAGTACCACCATGTTAGTAACAATAAGAGTTTTTTCATAGATGGGTCAACTATAAACGCTTCCACTGGATTTGGAGTCTTCAACGAATTTAATAACGCCTCATATCAACTGCAAAAACCCTGTTCCGTATACGTTGCGGAACTAGCAGCCATATTCTACGCAGTAGAGCAAATTGCCTCACTACCATCTGATCACTATTTTATTTTTACAGATAGCCTTAGCTCGTTGGAGGCTATTCGATCAATTAGGCCGATGAAGCACTCCTCGTATTTCCTGACCGAAATCCGAGCTAAATTGAGTACTTTATCTAACTGCTCCTATACTATCACCTTAGTTTGGGTCCCATCTCATTGCTCAATTCCGGGTAATGAGAAAGCGGACTCGCTAGCTAAGGTGGGCGCTATTGAAAACGATATTTTTGATCGACAAATCGCCTTTGCGGATTTTTTTTTTCAATTACCCGTCAGCACGTCCTCACCAACTGGCAACAAAAATGGAATGAGAGTGATCTTGGAAGATGGTTATATTCTATTCTCCCACAGGTGTCGAACAAGCCATGGTTCAAAGGATTGGACATGAGCCGTGACTTTATACGTGTCATATCAAGGCGCATGTCCAATCACTACTCGTTAGACTCGCATTTCTTCCGAATCGGGCTCGCAGGCAGCAATTTGTGCGCTTGTGGTAGTGGCTATCACGATATCGACCACGTGCTTTGGTCATGTACCCTCCATTGTGTTGCTAGATCCGAGTTATCCGCATCCCTCAGGGCCCGAGGAAAACAACCCATGCGGCCCGTTAGAGACATTTTGGCAAGCCGAGATGTCGAACATTTTAATTTAATTTATTTTAAAACGGATCGATCTGAGGACTTAGTAGTTAGTGTCATCTTGTGTTCTCTCAAGTTGCTAGGTCTCCATCGGTGTACCCCCATGTTTGTCTTTTTCTCCAGTATGTCGCTTAATTCTAGATCAAGAGCACATTGCTCTAAAAAACCTTGTGTTCTCAATCCCTACCCTGCCACCCTTTTGTTACAATTTGTTACCCCTAACCTCGAGATAGCCGCGAGTAATCGGTTCCCGCTTTACTAACGTTAGTTTTAAGTAATTTTGTAACCCAAACGATGAATATCGGCTCCGCAAAGCTACGGCAAATGAGCCAGGAAAAATAAACGCATTAAAAAAAAAGTCTGTCAAAACCTCAAAGTGGTGTCAAAAAGTTAACGACCAATCCAACAGGAGTCGTCAGTGAGTTAAGATTGCACCCCTCTATTATTAAACTTTCAAAAGAAACTTTGCACCATCCCAACCACAACCCATAATTCAGTTTATTTGAAGTCGGTTTCTGTAATCTCATCAATTAAAATAACAAAAGCAACTCGTTTTAAATTAAAACACATTATAATTTTAATCATCCACAATGCACCTTCTCCAGCACCCAACAGCAGAATAACCGACCCGAATTCAACCTTGATGAAAAAATTTCCATAAAACTATTCGAAAACCATCCACTGCTCGGAGACAGAATTACATCTCCAGCGTGCTAAAACTACATTATGTTGCGCACTCCTCGGCAGCAAGGACCAAGACCTAGCAAACACTCTTGCTGTACAACCATCATTACAACGAAATGCACGCCCCCAACCCACCACCTCCTGCACCATCTTCCATCCGCGGAGCGAAGGATTAACAGAAACCGTTAGAACCCATCCGGAGGGTGCATTGAGATCGCCGAGATAAGCAATGGACTGTCCTTTCAAATTATGCTGATTATTTATGTCGCTGTCGCCCATCTTGCCGTCGTCGACGTCGTCGTCACTTTCGCGTGCGCTTGTCACCAACGTCGTCGTCATCGTCGTTCATTTTGCTCGAAGAAATCTTTTAGCTTGTAAATTGCATCTACCGTGCTGCACAGTCTCGCTGTCTTTTTAAGCATTTCATTTATGAAAAGATGGGGAAGACGAAGACTAGCACGACCGGATGCTTTTCGCTTGCATAACACTAATTTAAGTGCATGTTATACTTCGGCGTTCATTATTTTCCTGCGTTCATGATATTTTCTTGATTGAGCTTTGCTGAGGGTTTCTTCGGTTGGATCGTCTTGGCGAAGGCTTTCAACTTATTCAGTGTAATTTGTTTTAAAAGCTACATAATTGTCCTGGAATATTGTTTAAAATCCTGTTAGAGATGAGTCATGCAACATCAAACTTTGGACAATCATTACATTTACGGCTAAGTGCAGCAATTACTGCGGATCATCCCTCATTTCAATCTCCCACAAAGTTAAGAATTCAGGTGGCTAGTTTGCTTCGCAAAAATATTTTTTTAAATCTTTCGAAGCGGTTTGTGGCATAAATTGAGGAGGAACAGATATTGCTAGAACTCTGCTTGATTTTGAAAGACATACCTTCATGTGTTAATGATTATCTCATGAACCACACATGCAGTGAAATGCATCAGTTATCCTCAAAGGGTTAAACCAATATTAACCTACAAACTGGTGCATCCAAAACCAATTGATCTGGACAAATTCCTGCTGTTTTCTAATCATAAAAAACACAAGTCCAAAATACTGAATACAATTTTCCTTTCCATCTGCATTTCATTTTATTACAGATCTCACCAGTTGTGGCATCCAACAGAACCACCCAATCGATGGTCATAAATCACTGCCCCTGGAGGGCAGCAGTACGTCCCATCAGTTTAAAGCGTACGTGGCAGCGGCGTCCGGAGGTAGTCAGCAGTCATCATCGCCAACGGCCAACGGGGTGCCCCAGTCAACCGGCGTGGGAATCGGTTCGTCCGTTAAATGGGACGAACCGTACTTTGACGATACGACGCCACACAACGTGACGGCTCTGGTCGGCAAGTCAGCGTACCTCAGCTGCCGGGTGAAGAATCTAGGCAATAAAACGGTAAGTGAATTAGCTGCCGAAAGGCTACGATAGTAACTCATGGCTCCCTATTCCACCAGTTCCGGTGCCTCTCTTCCTTCCTCCTGGTAATGTAATTTTGTTTTCATGCGTATTGCACGGTGCATGAAGCATACGATGGCAATAACATTAATATATTCAATCACACTATTTCATCACTCAAGGTTTGTTTTGTTCGGGACATTTATCATTGCGACCGTAACATTGATCATAGGTACGCTTAACCGGGGTGTAATTTTTTTTTCATGAGTAATTAATTTATTTATCAAGGCTCAAACATGGACGCTTTACGGAGCCAAAATTCATTTTACTTTTTACAATGTTTCTTAATACTAGTTTGAACACTCGCGATTGATATATCTGCTGAACTTCGAGATTAGGGCATAATTGCTTTTGTAAACAAACACGTCAATCACCGTTTTCACGCGAATTAAAGCTCAAGCTCGTACACTAAACACTCAAACAGGTAGAGGAATGACTCCTCTATCATTCGGTATAGTTTATTTGCAAGATTGAGCTTTTATTCCCGAGCAATCAGCGATTGACGTGTTTGTTTACAAAAGCAATTTCACAAATCTCAAAGTTGTCCGGAATATGTATCTCCACTGCCGTTAAATGACTGTTTTCGACGATTGACCATGGGAGATGCACTGCGGGGATGGAAAAGTGCTCTTGATCTCTATCGACTGATGGTTTCTTACAACTGCAACGAAACACAAAAGGAGGGGCTCGGGAAAGACAACGATACACGAACAGATAAATCACTACCTCACTTTCAATCGTTATTAATTTTAAACGTCAAAGTTGATGATCGACAAAAACAACGGTCATTTAGATGCTAGCTCCTTCAAAAGAGTTATCAACATTGGAATCATTAAAACAATAATATTCCGCGGAAATTCCCTAAAATCAACATTGCTGCTACTTCCTGGTTTCTTCAATATGACTCTAGGTTCAATACGAAAGGCCTCCTGAGCAGGACCCCAAAAAAAATCACTTTAAATCGAAAATCGTCAAGCGACGACGAAGCTGTCAACCATCACTTTCAATTGAAAGTCATTCTGTCATCTTTTCGAGCAGATTCCCTTCAACATCAACAGAACCACTTTCGATCAGTTTTCATGCTGTCTATTTTGGCTTTGTGGTATACCATTCCCTATTGCAGTAAAATACAAATTAACAAACATGATATTCCATACCCTGACATAACTAAACAACCAAAACAGTAAATATTCATTCACCCCCGGACAGCAAAGGCAACGCCCGGGTAAAAAGAATGCAATTATGCAATTCTAAACGAGCTAGGGTAAATGTCGGCTTCGGCACCCATTGACTGTTTTCGGCAACCAAAATTTAAACGTTAATTTCACTATGTTTTACCATCAACACACTTCCCTGAATGTATCCAAATGATTCTTTAGTCTTTCAGCTTCAATCTGATTATATTTGTAGGACCGAGCAATCCTGTTATGCCAGATTTTTCTTCAAATGAAGCATACGTACTACAAAATGGGGCTGATTTCGAGTTGCCGATAATAGAACAGCTGGTTAACACGCAGTTCTAATGGGAAGGTTGACGACAATAGTCACACTCACCTGAGAAGTTTAGAGCGTTGTAAAAACGCTTTCAAACAGTTTTGAAGAATTCTGTCGATTGGAATGGATGGAGAAGCAAGCAGCAGATGAATTGAAACAAACAGACACGTCATATATGTGCGTGACGCTGTGAAAATTCTAATAGAAGTGCGGACGATGCTTAGATTGACGAGAATACGTAAATTCCCCTATATGTGTAGCCACTCGATACTGGACTTTCAGCGCGCTCTCGTCTCTCTCCACCCTACCGGTGTGGTCCGAGGTCGTTCGCGCAGTAGGAAAGGTTTCGGATGACAACGCCAAGCGCTTAAGTAAAGTACATGTAAACTTATCAATTTTGCTAGGATGAGCAATTTCGGACAAATTATGTGTCACTCTACCACACATAAACCAATGTAACCAAATTTGTATAATAGGATAAGCATGTTCAATAAACAGCGATTCTGATTTTGAGCTCGATCCTAATGGGACTACCCATCTCGGCATTTCAACATTCTCAATAAATCAAATGTATTCTCTGCGACCCAGCTGGAAATCTCCAGCCAGGCATTCCGCACGTAAGAGAAAGTCCATGTTCGTTCCATGTCCATGCTAAGTTTTGCGAGCGTTGGTACTCGTTAATTAAAACCGTCAAAAGAACGGTAAAGCTTGACTCGTATTTCACTGTCAAATGAACTAACTTTCGTATTAAAGCAAATTTGTTCGATCGAGATTCGCGCAGATTTTCTGACTTTTGTTGATTGTTCACTCATTTAAGCGCATGTGCACGTGGATGTTAAATTTATCATTTACGGGTGGTTTGTTTACCCATCAATATGTGTGTTTTTTTTTTAATCGAGGTGACGTCTAGAAGCCGGAAATCGATATCCGATGCCGAGTCCAAGATGGCGGCTTTTGATTCAAGAAAATGTGGAAAATACTGTCAAATACTAGAGCTGCACCGAATAGAGCTACACACTTAGAAATTATTATTTTTACATGAGACGTAATTCAGCTTTGATTTAAATCATAGAACGTAAACAAACATGGCATGTAAAATTAAGTGTCCTGAAACTGAAAAATATGCAACTAGACGTAAAGTGCGTGTGATTGAATTGATTTTCTCGTTCTTTTCAACTGATTCTTATGTCAAAAGGGCCGCTTGCATGTGTCGGTCTCAGGGCACTGAAATTTACATGTCTTTTTTGTAGTGTGTATTTGGCCTGGTATTCGGTGTTTACATGCGAAGATTCGCTTATATTCAACCATTTTCTTACAAATGAGTGGTCGACAAAACGATTTTGTTAGTTCAACCACAGACAAACAGACATAACACTCGCAAGGGGTTCGTCTTACAAGCATTTAACGGTCAATTGAAAAGTAACGTAGCTGGTAGTACCGTCACTTGTGGCGTGCATAGTAAATTCCCTTGCGTTTTACGTTTACACATTACCGCCATCTGTTCAGCGTGCTGCCTACCACAGTGTACTCAACATATGGCGGTAATGTTTTAGCAACGATGTTTTACATGGAGAAATATTCAATGTGTTATGTCTGTTTGTCTGTGGTTCAACGCTTGATATTAGGCCGAATACTATGGCGGCCGAATATTCGGTGCAGCACTATCACTATCACTGAAAACGGGATGACGTCTAGAGAATAAAATCAATATCAAACGGCATACAAAATGGTGGTTTCCGATTTAAGAAAAAAAATGGGAAATACTGTCAAATCTCATCAATATGGATATTTTTTTAATCGGAGTGACCTGTACAGGCCGGAAATCGATATCCAACGACATTTTTGGCTTCTGATTTCAGAAAAAGTGGGAAATACTGTTAAATACCCATCAAAATGATATTTTTTGTAATCGAGATGACGTCTAGACTTTAAAAATAAAATCCGATGGCGGCTTCTTGCTTAAGGAAAGTGAGAAATTATATCAAATACCATACATATATTTTTTTTAGAATCAAGTAAACGTCTAGAAGCCGGAAATCGATATCGCTATTTCAAAATCCGAAGCGACGGCTTCCGATTTGAGAAAAAGTGTCAAGTACCCTAAAATATGGGTATTTTCAGAACAACGATGACACGTAGAGGCCGGAAATGGATGTCAGACGCCATCTTGCAATACCAAATGGTGATTTCTGGTTTCAGAACATGTGGGAAATACTGTCAAATTCCCATCAATGTGGGTATTTTCGAAATCTCAGTAACGTCTAGCGGCTAGAAACCGATGTTTGACGGCATTTTAAAATCTTATTTATAAAAAGAGTAAAATACTCTCAAATACCGCTCAATGCGAGTATTTTTGAAATCGAGGTGACATCTAGAGGCCGGAAATCGATGTCTGACGCCGATTCAATCCGATTTCTGCAGAAGAGTTAAATACCCTACAAATGGCGTCGTATATCGTTTTTCGGCATCGACGCGTCATTCCCATTTCGAAAATACCCAGCTCTTAGGGTATTTGACATTTTTCGTGAAACGTCATACATCGATTTTTGGCATCTACGCGTTGTCCCCATTCCTTAGGGTATTTGACACTTCTAAAAATCAATGGGCCCTAAATTGGATTCCAAAATGGCATCGAGCGTTGATTTTCTGCGTCTCTGTTCCAAAAATACCCATATTTTAGGATATTTGACACTATTTTCTTTCAATCGAAGACCGCCATATTGGATTCCAAAATGGCATTGGATATCGAATTTCGGCATCTACGCGTTGTTCCCGTTCGGAAAATACCCATATTGTAGGGTGTTTGTGTCTTTTCCTGAGCCTGATGACCGTCATCTTAGACTCCAGAATGGCCTTGTTAATTTAATTTGCATTTAATATAAAATAACATTTTATTACTAAATATAATCCGGATGGCATTCCTATCGGCAACCGATACTGACTATCTGGATACTATATTTTGATGCCTGATAACGTGACGCGTGGTTAGCGGCACCGGTGGTGTAGTAGTAAGCATGATTGCCTCTCACCCCAGCAGGCCTGGGTTGAATCCCATTCGGCGCCGCCGGGATGTTTTGGAGCATAACATCTCTGATCACGCCTTCCTTCAAAAGGGAAGTAAAGCCGTTGGTCCCCGGTTCATGAGTTGATGGGTCGATAGGTAGGGTCCAGGTGCGGGAGCTGCCTCTCTGGCGTCGGTAGCATTGGTGCTCAGCACGGAAAACAAGATCGACGGAAAACAAATCAAGGAAAAAAAACGTGACGCGTGACAAGTCAAATGAGCCCCAAATTGCAGTGAACGTTGAAAAAACGAAGGAAGCAGTTTTCGAGTCATTAATTGCGTCAATTGAAACAAGTCTTTGCTTCAAATGAAATGAACTGATGCACTTGACGAACAAAGCGATAGTCATGTCATGTTTGACAGGAGGAGAAGTGTTCATCGTGAC